GCCGCCGCCGCCGCCGCCGCCGCTGCTCTACCGCCGCCGCCGCCGCTCCCGCCGCCATTTTGGGTTCGCTTTGCGGAGGGGGAGACTATGCCCGTCTCGGTTGCAGGACCCGCCTCCCCTCGGTTTCCCCCCTTTTAGACCTACGCCTTTCCCTTCTCCTCTCTCGCATTTCCGCCAGTCCGCTTATCCGCTGGCCACCTCCTGACAAGCGGGAGGGATCCTCTGTGGACCAAGGGAAGCGGAGGAGCCTGGCGGCCACCCCCTCCTCCCCACTTCCCTGCACTCTCATCGCTCTCGGCCTCGGCCTCTGACACGGTGAGTAGAACGGTTTGGGCAGGCTTTTAGGCCTAAGTACTCCCTCAGTGACTCAATCCTTGGCTTCCCGGGAGCTACTGTCATCTCCCGGACCTGGACCTCCGGGAGAGCGGTGGTAAGGATGGGGGAGGGGAGAGTAGGGAAGGGGATCCTGAGCTTACCGGGAAGTCCCTCCAGGCGGGGGTGAAGGGGTGTCCCTGACAGGCAGGCTCCTGGCTTGGGGGAGGGGGCAGGAAAGTAAGCGAGTGGAGGCGGAGTCGGCTGTTCCCCTGTCAGGTTAGTTTGTGTATAGCATCCCCCATAGTCCAGTTAGTGTCTCTTTAAAGAATAAGAGTGGCAGGGGAGATAATCTTTAGAGGATAGTTTACCAGTATGACAAGGGCTGTGGTGTTCCTAACAAGCTGAATTGTATGTAGGAACGACAGAATGATCTCAGTGTTTTATAAGTTTAATGTCACTGGTTGGTTTGTACATGGAAAGAGGTGTTTTTGGTCTAGAAGACAGATGGTCTGTTGGTGTATAGCGGCTGTGTTTGTGTGTATGTGAAGGATGGAAAGTGTTTCGGAAGAGTTTGCCTCTGTTTGTATAAGTGTAATGGAGTTCCCTTTATAAGTGAGCTTATTTTTTTTAAATGTTGGGTGATCCCTATAGGTTGATAAGTGTGTGTATTTTAGGGATTGTGAGCTCCTAATTACTTGTTGGGAAAGAGCAGTAACGGCAGTATTTTAGGCAATATAGCATGTATGTGTGGAATCAGGGAGGGGAGAAACTTGGCCTAGCCAGTTGCGGTCTTAAGAATATTTTGTGCTTTTGGTTAGAGTGAATTGTGTAAATGTGAAGGCCCAGAACATCTTTAACAGGATAATTGCTACGAGACTGTAACGAGTGGATGACCTTTTTTGTTGATTTATATTAACGTTTTATAATAGAATAAGGTTTTTTTTATTCAGAATACTCTTTCAGTTTCTTTGTGATCCTAAATTTCTGTTAAAATGATAGATGTATGTTTTCTACCACTTTACAAAATAGGAGATGGAAGGGTAAAGAGGTAACTTTTTCAAGGTCACATGTTAAATTGGTGACAAAGTTGGGACTCTAACCCAGATATTTTGATTACTAATCCAGTAGCATATCCTGGTGCTTCAGGAGGTCTTTGTGGGCAAATCTGAGTATATTGGAAAGATAGGAGCATATATGGCTGGTCATGTCAGACATGTGTATGGAACATGGGTTGTCCTTGGCAAGTCTGACCTGTATGAAATGGGTATCCAAACACATTATTTTGTGTTGATGGAGGAAGCAGAGTATTTTTGGCATTTTAGCTTGTATGTTTGAGGGAGGCAAGGCTTTCATAGCTTAATTTGTACCAGAGCAGTTGCATGGATGCTGACAGCTTACCTTTAAGTCTATGGGAGGAAGGATCTTCTTTCATTTATTCAATGAATATTTATTGAATACCTTGGGGTGAAAATAATCAAGGTGTCCCTGTTGAAATTGCCTAGGTGCATATGAGGGGAATCATCTTGACAGTGATATGTATTAAGTTAAGTGAGGCAAATAAGGCAATGTGGAATTGAATCCAAAAAACATTCCTTCCAAGTCTATTCAGTTTGGAGGGAATTTAGGTCTTCTAGACAATTTAGTATAGAAGGTAGATACAAGAGTATTTAAGAGTCTGACAGGGTGGCCAGTTTGTGGTAGAGTGTGCCTTGTTGGCATTTATGAGTAAACTGTGTTTGGGATCTGGGGATTGTTGATATGTATTCCTGTAGATACTGGGACTTTTTGGCTGGGCCGAAGGACTTCTTTGAAAGACTAATCTTATAGTAAGGATCCACTCTTTGAATATGGGAAGAATGCTTGAATTAAGCTAACTTAACTGTATTCCTCCGGAAAATAAAATGTTTCTTGATATGCTAGATTAGTGGTTCTTAAAGTTTTTTGGGGTTACTTGTCCCTCAGATTCTGATGAAAGACAGACTGGGCCTTCATGTGAAAAAATGAGCATAAGAACAATCACATGAATGATGCATGTTTCAGGAACATAAACTGTAATGAAATAGAACCAATTTATATTCAGGTCTCATTTGTTTTTTGTTTTTGTTTTTGTTTTCAAAAGATGTCTGGTAAGGGGATCTTAACCCTTGACTTGGTGTAGTCAGCACAACGCTCTCCCAAGTGAGCTAACCAGCCATCCCTGTATAGGGATCCGAACCTGTGACCTTGGTGTTATCAGCACCACACTCTCCTAAGTGAGCCACGGGCTGGCCCATTCAGGTCTCATTTGAAAGCCTTTTTTCCCCCCTAAAGTTTTGTTTGGGAGGTGGGGATGTTAATATGAGTTTAAGGTGAAAGATTTTATGACAGTATTTGAGCATGTTGAGAGTAAAGAGAACTTTACGATCGTGTTAATTCTTTTTATTCTTAGAAAACATTTCTGCAGTGTTTGTACACGATTCTGAATTAGGTGATAAGGGAATATAATGTAGCATAGGTGTCTGTGGCTTTATTCTTTTTCAGCATCTTAAGCTCGTCTTTTTCCAGTTTTGCATTGGTACTGAGGTGGTTTGAAGCTCATTTTGGACTTTGGTTAGTTATAACATTGAGCTAATCCTATGCAAGGGACATGAAGATGAATAATATATGGTCTCTGTCCTTGAAGAAATTTTAATCCAATTGGATCTATTAATTGTATGATGGTAGGGACTATCAAAAGGATAAGGAGGGGCCGGCCCGGTGGTGCACTCGGTAGAGTGCGGTGCTTGGGAGTGTGGCGGCGCTACCGCCGAGGGTTTGGATCCCATATAGAGACCGGTCCGCTCCCTGGTTGAGCGCGGTGCAGGCGCGACACCAAGGGTTGCGATCCCGTTGCCGGTTGCGGTAAGGGCGCGACACTGAGGGTTGCGATCCCGTTACCGGTCACGAAAAAAGACAAAAAGGAAAAAAAAAAGGATAAGGAGGAGGGAAGCATATTCTAGAAGTTAAGATTTCATCATTTAATTACAAAGTTTTTTTGCCATTTTTCATTCTTAGGAAGCTATAAGGTCTTCACGCTTTATATGCAAGTTTGTGGCTTAAAAATGTGTTTTGGTATCATCTGATGTTTTTGGATAAAAGAAGTAACTGTTGATTTGAAACAGACAAATATCAGTTCTATTCTTCATCTTGTTTATCTAGTGAGTTTTTGTAAATAGGTGTTAAGTTCATTTTGGGGTATACATACCCTTCTGGAGTAAAATCCAGTAGCTGTTTGACAGACAACCCATGAATCTAGTACTGGAAATTAAAAATAATTACCGCATTTTTAAAAGGAGCAAGACATTTAGAAACGTGTTTTAATATGACAGATTCAGTAAGATAATGGAGAGATCTTGTGACAAATGGTCTGATTGTCTCTTCTCTATATTGGCATGGCGTCTGTATATGAATGTCATGTGAATTTGTGAAAAGTTAAATATTTTCTGTAATTTTTTTATGGGTAGTAGGTTCATGGTGTTATTTTTTCATAACATATGTCTTAATGTGTGTGTGGTATGTATATATATGTGCACATATGTGTATATAGTCTCTTGTGTGTATCAGATATTTCACAACTTTAAAAAATGCGTGTTAATAATCACA